TTACCCACATTTGGGGAAATCACAAGGTTCAACAGCACATCCAAAGTGCAATGGATGAGCCTTTCCCTGGGAAAACCATTTTTACAACATTTTATTTTTCCTACAAGGTATGAGTTAGAATGGCCCTTGCATCTCCTACCCCCTTCTGTCCCCAGCCCCCCAAGTTATGGTGACCCCCTGGCTGCACCTCCTATTCAGTACAGGGCTGCACAGCCCCAGTCCTGCCAGAGGCCAAGAGAGCTGCTCAGTGTTTTGGTGTGCCCTGTGGGACCCCCTTCAGGGGCTAGGTGTTCCTCCCACAATCCTCTAGTGCACATGTATTAGCATAAGGTATTAGCATATGCTTTTCTTTGTTGCTGGAGAGCGAAAGAGGGAGAAGGCTATCCGAGACCCATTGAATTTTCAAAGGCAGTGCAGGGGAGGGAATTGCTTTTCCCCAATATGATATGGGGAACTATGTTTTGCAAGATGATGTTTTCTATGGACAATTTTAGCAAGACAGTGATTTTTCCCCAATTGGAACGCATTAAAAAGATTTCAATGCATTCCAATGGGGAACTGGCTTTCATAAGATGAAGACAGCGATTTCCATGGAACAAATTAAAATTGTCCTGCGAGGCACCACTGTATTTCTTAACTATTCACAACAGCCTAATGAAGACTGGTATATGTTGAAAGCTTGTAGTTTTTAAAAATTATTTCTGATGTGGTTTAATAAAGATGTTGCCTGCCTTTGCTTTTGTATTGTATAAGGACCACGTGGCTTTTTTTGGACTATAGATTATAATACACCTGTTTGCTTTATCAAGTTGTCTTTATGCCGCAGAGGTCTCCAACCCCCGGTCCGCGGCCCGGTGCCAGTCCATGGCCTGAGCTGGACTAGGTTGCGAAGACAGATCTCCTGCCTCCCCCCGCACGCACTCACCCCCACACAGCCTGTTTGTACTCCAGCATGCCTGTGTGAGCGCTGCACCACCATTTGCGCATGTTTTTTAGAGCACACATATCCGCACAAGAGCCACACCGACATTTGCGCATGCGCATGCGCGCGCGCAAGAGAGGGCTCATTCGTGCATGTTCACAGGTGCGGGGGATGCCCCTCCTTCCCCAGCCGGTCTGTGGGGGTTAAAAAGGTTGGGGACCCCTGTTTTATGGTACTGCGGTTAAAGCTTCCAGTCAAAACAAACCTGTCTCTCATAGTATATTGGGGAACATATTGTGCGTTTTGAAAATATAGTTTGCTTTGCGAATTCTCATTCCAAACAGAAATTGAAGATAAAAATTCATGATCAAAATGACCAAGGGAAAAAGCAGTCAGTTTAATACTTTTCATGGGCAACATGAAAACACAAAGGTCAATTAAGTCTTCCTTTCCTGCCTGACTAATGGCCATCTGATGGAGGAGAACCCACCTTCCTCTTAAATAATCTATTTTGTTTTTGACTAATTCTTATTAATAAGAAGTGCCTCCTATTATGTAGCTGGAATCTTCTTTTTATATTTTGTTTCACAGTACTTTATTCCAGACAGTTTTGAAGTGGGGTGAATTTCTATATACCAATACTGAACTAATTCTTGAGTGTGTATGGTACCATTTGCCCTCATAAGGAGCTATGCTAAAAAAAAAAGTAATGATAACATATATCCCTCCCAGCGTGTTTGGGTTATAATTCTAGGAGAGCCAATAGGGAGGAAAAGTGGAATTGTAGTCAAAAAATGGGAAGAGACTGATATTCAGAATGGCAGCAGTAAAGGAATCAGAAAGGATTATCAATTATCATCAAGGAATGGGAAAAGATCATCAAGTATTAGGATGTGTCACTGGAGACCAAGGCCAAGATCATCCACACTCTTGTATTCCTGACCGCTATGTACAGATGTTGAAGCTGGGCAGTGAAGAAGGCTGACTGGAAAAAATCTGGTTCATTTGAAATATGGTGCTAGAGGAAAGTTATGTAGATACCTTGGAATGCCAGAAAGACAAGTGGGTCCTAAGTCAAATCAAACCTGACAGGAAACTGAGGTTTTCTTATTTCAGGCATATCATGAAAAGGCAGAATTTTCTGCAATAGACAATAATGCTGGGAAAGGTGGAAACCAGCAGGAAAAGAGGAAGGCCATAGTTGTGGGAATGGATGGACAACTTGGTTGTCAGTGGCTCCTGAAACATCCCATTACTCTTCCTCTCCTGCTTGTTAAAAAAAAAAATTCCAGATGATTAGGAAATGTTTTTCTAACTTAGAAGTGAAATCTTCAAGAGGCAGGCTTGTTTGTGAAATACAACAAGTGATATTTTGATCTTTTCAGCTTTCCTCTTCAAACCAGTGCTTTGTTGAAGACACTGGTAGATGAGGAATGTCTGAGCTTTAAAATGCTTGCAGAGTGAAATAGCTGTCATGTTGAGATCTTTTTAGGAAGGATTATGTCTTTAATAACAAAAAAGACTTGAGCTGTCTAGATGCCTCCCAGGTTGTTTCAGACCTTAATCAACCAGTCTTTAAATAATGGATCCTTTTTGAGAGGGCAGAGTGTGGAGATAATTAAAGTTGGAAGGAGAGGGGGAATATTCGGTGGAGAATATGGTATACTTTGAATCTTATGTTTTTGTTAAAGGCAAGAATTATTGGAGTTCTAAGCAGACTGGAATTACGTGTATGAAGATTAATTAAATTTGATACAAGCCAAGTTTCAGGAGGAATGTTTTAAAGTTTTTGATATTTAGGGGAGGTAATGTCTTGGAATAACTTGAATAAATTATTAAGAAACTAGCTTGCTTTAGAGATGACTTTTTAAAAACAACTCTTCCTTCTTTCTCAGATGGCATTTAAAATTTATGTGTGAACTAGGAATTACCTAATCTTTGGTTACTGAAGTTTTAGCATTTAGGAATTACTGTTTTAGGCTATAGGGAGGGGTTTCCTCTAAGACCTTTCCTATTTTCAACAATATGTTAATTTTAAAGAGCATTGTTTTAATACTGTATTTTTTGCACAGTTACAAATGTCTCTGGGGAGTAGATTTTTTTGCGTGGGACTGGCTGAAAACTGCTTTTGTATTTATATTCCAAATAGTGATTTTGGCTGTGATGGTAGGGTAGAAGTTTCCTTTGTGATGTAATGCAATCAATAGCTGTCTTTCAGGCCAATAAGTACTGTTTGCTGTCCTGCAGGGTAGTGTTGCTTATAACATCACTAATTATTTTTGGAGCAATGAGGGGAGGGGTGGCACTGCTAGCAGCTTGGCCACATTTTATGGTGTGGCTCAAGACTGAATAATACAATGTCGCATACATTGTGTTTTGTTTTTGCTCCTCTTTTAATGTAGGAAGTGTGGGAATTGGTCCTGTCCTTTTAGGATTGGGACCCTTGGGAAGTGTGGGAATCTGGACTCACACAGCAAGAATGGTCCTGTCCTTTTAGGATTGGGACCCTTGTTGAAAAGTCAGAAGAGTAACTCCCACACATAGGCAGCCACCTTGTGTAAGTAGCAGCCTGCCCCCCAACTGAATGGGTCAATGCTCCAGAAAAGCCAACAGATTACATTATTGAAACCATCAAAGAATAAAACAACAAATCACTTATAAAAAAACATGTCAAGCTGAGCTGAAAACTATTTCCTCAAGTTCTCTTCATCTCTTGCTCTTTTCCCTCAACATTCAAGTTTTGAGTTAGCCTTTAGGCTCAAGCTATGTTCTATATCCTTTTTCAGCTTTCAGGCTAGTTTCACATAGGTTTCAGCTGAATTTCAGAATCCTTCTTTAATCAGTACAGAAATCCTGCAAGAAGGTTTGTTCCTCTCCTCAGCCCATTAGGTAGTAGACTGGCCAAATTAGCAGTGATCCAATTCTCTGAAATTTCAGGGCCAAAACCTGAGACTGGAAGGTGGATCCTTTTGATGATGTGTGGGTGTGTGGACTGGTCTTTGTGATGTCACAGAGGCAGGTCAGGCAAGGTGGGTGAAGCATAACTGTTTCTGGGTAATCTAATTGTAGGAAACAGTCTTGATGGGAATTCAAGTCCACAATCCTAAATAAGTAATGTGTCAATGCAGAGCTGAAGAGAAAAATCACATTTTTATGGGGACAGGTGGCAAAAATGCCAAACAGTTGAAGTGATTCCTGTCATTCCCGCCAGGGCTTTCCTGTGGATGGGGGATGTGGGAAAAATCAGGGGGAAGATGGCTATCTGATAGAAGTGCATTGGGGCTGGGGAGTAAAGTATGAGCAGAAGAGAAAATTTGGGTTATTCCATTGTAGGTATGAGACCATAGAGAGGACAGAGATTAGCTTCTAAGGCTTTTGTCCTCAACAGGAAAAAAGATTCTCCCATTACTGTCTTAAAAGCAGAGTATTGCCGTTATCTCCCCTGGAAGTGACAAGGAATGATGGAACTGATGATGGTGGGCTCTACCCACTATTTCCTGATTCCATCTTATCCCTTTGTTATAATTCTCCATGGGGTTGTAAATGCAAATTATCCATGATGAAGTCATGTGAGAGGAAAAGCCAAAGTTGTAAATGCAAGTTATCCTGTATGATGAAGTCATGTGAGAGGAAAAGCCAACCAAGAGGCACTTTTTGGTAAACTTCTTCCTGAAATCTCTCAGACAAGTTAACCTGAACATTTTTCCTTTTTTGTTGTTAGTGTCCAGAATGCTTTTACTTTAATATAACTTGTTATGTTTGCTGCATGCATCATGCCACATAAATTTGTTTGTGTTCACTCTGTAGGAAAGCAGTGATGTCATTCAGTAACATTTGGTAAAAAAGGAACAGGAGGTGAGGATTAAGCAAACAACTCTTTGGCAAAATCCTGGCCTCTTCTATTCCATACACATGCACCTGGAGTAAGATTTACTGAAAGTGAGGGGATTTATTTCTGAGTGGACATGGATAGGATTGTGCTGAAAAACAGACATTGGCTAGCAGTGAAATGTGGAAACAGGTTTCATTTTTTAATTATAATGGTAACGTTTTCTGTTTTCTTCCCTTTCCTCCTTAGGTAACGGGTATAGTAGGCAGAGCAGATGTCTTCGCTTGCCTACTATTTCTTTTGGCTTTTCTCTCCTATAATAGGTATGTGTTTTTGTGGTCATACGGCTTGTGGGATTGATATTACAAAGGCAAACACAATTCCATCTCTCATAATGGAAGTTGAGTCATGGCAACTGGACTTTTTTCATATTAGGTTGAAACGTTTCGCTACTCATCCATTTCGACCTAATAATAAGAAAGAAGTCCAGTTGCCATGGCTCAACTTCCAGATAACCTCAACTTGGATGACTGAGAATCTTCACAGATATTATCTCATAATGTTATTTCTTTTCCCACCTTCCCCCTACCTTTTTGCAAGATATGGAAATCAGTAGCTAAAACCAACTGCCTAGCTGAATATAATAACAATAATAACCTTAGCAGAGCTGGAAGAAAACCTGTAGATCATTGAGTCCAGCTCCTGTCAAAGGGGACAGTAAGGAATCAAACTCCCAACCTCTGGCTCTCCAGTCAGATACTTAAACCACTGAGCGATCCAGCAGTTCGTATGTTGCAGCCAAGCTGGTCACTTCCACATGGCATTGCCATCATCTCTAGGTTCTGACCATCCAAATCATGTGCCCATGGTAGAGTGTAATGCTTTCCATTGCTGCTTTCTCAGAGTCATGTAATGGCCATTAAAAAAAGTATGGGGAGGCGCTGTTTCTATTAATTACGAGATACACATGGGATACAGTATTTAATTCTGCCGCGTGTACTGATTATCTGCTCCAGATTACCTCCTCTTGCTTGAAGCTCCCCTTCTCTCTTGCAACCTTCAAAATAGTACTTGTGAAGTGAAATGTCTGTGTGGATCCTTGATGTTGATAGAGTGGGTTTGAGGGTTGGGAAGAGCAGTTGTGGAGGAGCAGCATAAAGAAGTGGCTGGTGAGGAGAGGGTTGATCCCCTGCGGCTTTTCTCTTACCTTCAATCCTTTCCCAGCAGACTTTTTCACAAAACAGACAAACAGTCTGTCAGAATTTCCTTATAGGTATTTT